GTATGTTTTTGTGCAATATCACACAGAGGATCTGCCTGGGCTTTTTGTAGGTCTTGGACCTACTTTCTTGAGCAGCTGATGGGTATCGTTCCTCATGGCTGAGAAGATGCATCTAAGTCACTCAGACTCCCAAGGTATTCAGCAGGTATTCAGCTCACCCTGCCTATACAATGGGAGACAAAAAATGGTAACCATGACTGACAGTGTTCTTTACCACCTCAGCTCTGCACTTTAGGAGCTGAAGCTGACCCTTCTAAACTTCACTGGAAGCACAGGAGGGGTTCAAGTTCCTTGCACTGTCCTGGTTCTGTTCCCAAAGTCAGTCCTATAACCCAGCCAGCTGGATGGTAAACTGCAAACACGGTAAAAGCCACATCATTGGTGTTTCCTACTTTCCTAAGCTTCGTATGTATGTATATATACACATACATGTATATATGTACATACATATTAGAGAAGATTCAAATACCCAAATTACTTTTTGCTCCCAATTCTTTGGCAAAATATTTTGTTCCTCGCATTTCAAAATCCACTGAATTTAGCAATTCTAAAATTGGAAACTGTAGTTTAAGTCATGATAGCAGAACTGAGAGAAGCAGTCCACTCCTTCACTTCTAATTGCAAATCACAGCTGAGCTATTATTTAAAGCAAAATTCTTCTCTAAAGATGCCAAGTGCTATTTAAACCTCTTGATTTTAGGGCAGAGCAAGATTTTGATAGAACTGCGACACAGCACATGTCTAACCAAAGTCTCACTCAGCAGCAACAGCAGAAGACAGGATCTCAAATAGAGGGATGCTGGGTTTGGAGAGATTAGCCTTAGTTGCTGGCAGTGGAAACTCCCATCCCAGCTGGACAGTGAGGGATGCAGTTAACAGTAATTGCTTCTCTGCACCATTATTAAGAGCTTTTATTTACAGATATCACAGAAGAGTTTCTAGCTCCAAAGTATGCCAAAAGTTTTTTTTTATTATTATTACACACAATTGAAGAAGTCAATTCTCTGTTGGACATCAAACCAGTTGTCTGCCAGTGGGTCCTTGCACAAAGTAAACCTGCTCACTGCTGGACGCCGGGTTTCATTTAACTTTGGGCATTCATTAACAAACAGAGGCACTCACGTGATACCCTGGGAGATCAGATTAGAGAGTGAATGAGAGGAAACGAATCCAGAAGAGGGAAGTGCCAGCATGATTTCCCTTTGCTGCACTCAACATGATGAAATTTGAATGGCAAGCAGTGTCACCAATGCGTTTTGAATGACTATTAAACACAGAAGCTATAATCTTTTAATTAGTTTCTCCATAGAAAAACACAACAAGCAATGTTCTGCACATTATCTGACAGATGGGTTAGCATTCAAGATAATGAAAAAAAAAATTAATTTTCACTGCTCCTACCCCCTGTATATGAGGCTCAATCCTGAAGCTGCTATCTATCCTATTATAAGGTGCAAGATGACAGATTAATGAAAACATGTGCCACCTCAGCAAATGATGTTCCCATTTCTATCCCAACCACTGTAATATGTTGTGCAAAGGCAAGAGGCCAAGTGCATGCCGGCCTTGCCCTGATACATGGAGAGAATTACAAATCTACTTTATAAAGCATCTGGTAAAAGTCCACCTTTAAGACAAGTTCTGTGGTGTGAACTGAACCCAGAATTGAAAGCCAGGTTCAACTGATCCAATAACTCGCTTTCCCTCCCATGCCAACTTCTGTCAGATTGATCAACCAAACCCATAAGTGCCTCTGAGGTTCCTCAACAATCACAAGCAGGAGTGAGCCCTAAAAGCTGGAAGCTGAATCACTTTCTCAAGCTTTACAAAGTCAAATGCTATTTTGCTTTAGTCCAAACATTAGAGAACTTCATTATAACCAAGGTCAGATAGTCTAAAAATTATTTAAATCCAGGCAAAAAAAAAAAAGAAAAAAAAAAAAAAGAAAAAAAGATGCTTATTAATTGAATGACAGTAAATGAGTATCAGTGAGCACACCAATATCACCAGTTTTTAATCGTATGAACGACGTCCCCATGCACATAAATAAGCCCAATCAATTAAGTTTGATATGACGAAGTAAAAAGATATCAGTGTGCACCAACCATGGAGCTCATTTAGTCTGCAGAGCCAAGATGGTTTGGTTACTAATATGGAGCAGAAAAAACACTCTCAGCCAAGAATCTTCAAAAAGCACTCAAAAGCAATGTGAAGCATAGAAAAGCTTTATTGATTTTAGGGCAGAGCAAGATTTTGATAGAACTGCGACACAGCACATGTCTAACCAAAGTCTCACTCAGCAGCAACAGCAGAAGACAGGATCTCAAATAGAGGGATGCTGGGTTTGGAGAGATTAGCCTTAGTTGCTGGCAGTGGAAAAAAATAAGTTGGAGGTTTTGTGAACTACCTCCCAGTAATTCTGACTTTTTAAAACACCAAATATCTGCCTATTTTGCCTTAAAATACAAGTTTTGAGCACCTTGAGGATAGCAGTTCATCTCATTAAGCTCTCTTCTTAAATCCCGGGGAAGAAAAACATGGCTCAGAATTGATAATCATTCATAAATGCTCATATGCACATGAAAATCGCAATAATTCTTCTTGTCTTTGCAACAGCTTCATCCTAGCTTAATTCCCCTGGAGTTATTTTCAGCCAGCATAGCATAAGGACAGAAGCAGTACCACAGTACATTAGAAGAGGTTAATACAAATGCACAACAGATGCACTGATTGCTCAAAAAGCCCCGACTGTGGTAGCTGCACAGTTTTTTGGTATAAACCAAAAGGTCTGAGTTGGGGGCCAAAACTTTGGCTTTGGTAGAAATACGTAGGTTATATCCTTGAAATCTGATGTGACGATGAAAAAGAGGTGCTAAGGTCAGCACTTCAGGAATTTGGTTCAATGACTGGAATTGCCAAACTTCGTATATTTGGAAGCCTTTACCTTTGCCTTGCCCTTCTCTCACCTTTACTCTGGAAAACAAAGAGGGGAGATAGCTCCAAGCATACAATGCCTATGTACAGAGATATTAATGAAAATGGACAACCATCACTTTACTAAAAATGTGCTGTTGTGGTAACTCAAGTGCAGTTTGGCTGATGGAAATTACTAGTTCAAAAGTTCATGACTGAAAACAGTGCTTGGATATGATCAACTCTGATAATTGGGGGTAGGAGATAGTGTGACAGATGGATTTGGGAGACGCTTCAACTCCATCTGTCCCCTGGGCTTGTGGGGCACCATTGAATCTGTGTACCCACAGTGCCACACAGCCTTCAGGTCCCTCGCACAAGTTTGTGTTCCATTTTGAGAGTTTCCATGTAGACTTTACTGCTCAGCAATTTACATACCAGGCAGTGCATATACAATCAAAGAATCATTTGCTACCCTTCGCCAGCAAGTAAAACTCTGCTGTGCTTCATTTAACCTCCCCTGGGCAAATGTGTGTTACCAGCAACTGCCACCAGTGAATAATAAATATTAACAAAACATTTAATTGGAATCTTATTGAAAAGCACTTTCGCCAGCACGGCTGGCAAAAGTCCCCTTGAACAAATGTTGTCTCCTTGCCAAGTACAACATAGGTAGAATCATAATTAGTCACAGGCTACAGAACATACATGTGTAAACATCACTGCTCAAGCATGATCTTTGCAAAGCCTGAATTTGATAGATTACAGTAATCTGGGTTCTAACTAACTTCCCTGGCCTTGTTTTTGAACAGGTGCTGATTATTTCTCTATACATACCTTTAGTCTAAGCTGTTTTACTCTTACAATCTTTGATAATTTACCATGTAATCCTTTATTAAGACTCATTGAAGGAAGAGATTTGGACACTACTCTGTACCCAATTAGCAATCTTTACTGTAGATCTTTCTTCGTCCATTTGAAACCCTTGCACTAAGATGCTGGCTGGCATAAGAATTTGTTAGGACATTTCTTCTGAGAGCACATCCCTGTGGAGGTGTGAAGGATGTGCTCCCTCAGCAACCAAAGGACATCACAGAGGGTGAGGAAGATGACTTTTTTTTGAATAGTCGTAGGTGAAACTGAACTACAAGCTGTGATGCTTGAAAAGAAAATCAATTTGGATAAACCAATGTCTTTATTTTGAAATCCATTTCCTTTTGTGACCCAAAACCTTCTCTTCAGCTATCGTGGTGATCAAATCTTGGCTTACAAATTCTCATTCTCACTGGAAGCATCCAAAGCACTTTTCCAAATCTGTTTATTGTTTTACAATCTGGTTCTTAGTAATAACGTATCTGAGCCTAGCACAACATTTCAGTCATCCAGTCAGAGGTGAGAAATAAGGTATATGACTTCAGGGAAAAAACACTGAGTGGTAAACAACAGAAACTGAAAGCAATCACTGAGCACAAGGTTTGAAAGGGTGAGAAAAGCTAACAAGGCAGAGCTCAGGTGTATGAGCTGGCAAGTAGAATGGAAACAAGAATAATCATAACTTCTCAGGACACCAATGCAGCATGTTTCTTCATTAGCAATGCCCAAAGCACAACTGACCACTCCATTAATGACACCTGCTGGTGAACTGTAAGGTTGTGTTGACTCCCTGGGGAACTCCCTGACATGGGGACAGAGCATGGAGCATCACAGGGTCAAATATCACCATCCTCGGAAAGGAAAAGACCTTGTGGGCTGCACCTGTCAGGACCCCAAGGACCCCATCCAAGTTTTCTCATCAAAAAAAATGTTCATCAGAAATGTAGTAGATCATTCATATCCATATGTAACACAAAGCTCTAGTGCTTCTGGAAAGATCAGGTGAGCACCAAGTAAATTTTCTCATATATAGTGTTAACCAGAGACATCTCCAGCTGACAGAGCTATTCAGAAAAGGGGTAACTTTGGCCTGTTGGAAGTGGCCTAACAAATCATCTCTCTTTTTTTCTCTCCAGAGCAAAATAAGAAGGCAAAAAAAACTTAAAAGTACAAATAAACTAAGATTTTTGAAATCAGGAAAAACTCTGGACCAGGGAAGTTAAAATGAATATATTGCAACCTCATTCCAGAGCTTTAATATGTCAAAGTCATATCACAACAATGCATAAAAACCATACAAATGCCTTCCTCAAGAGTATCAAAACTTAAATCTGTAGAATTGAACAAAAATGGCTGAAACTGAACATGTGAAGATGTGATACATGGAATGTGCCAACCAACAGAAATGTTGAACAGAACTCAGCTTGCAAAAGCAACATCTGTTTGCTGCAACAGTTAGAGGTGCCATGTTAGTATGCATTGTGATGCTCCAATATAGCACTGCTATGCCTGTTGTGAAGCCAGACATCAATTCAAAGAGCACATTTTCCTGGAAATACCCCGCATGTTAGCGATGATTACACACAAGGTAAAGTTGAATCAATGTTCTGGGAAAACAAGCTGACATACTTGATATCCTAAGACAGCTTTCTGATCATACAAAACCAGCTATTATGCATAGTCTTGATTTTCAACCTTCTTAATATCCCAATGGCTTATTCCTTCAAGATGTGTAGCTCTTCTGGATGATTTCCAAGACCTTCATAGTTCTTCTTCACCCTGTCTTCAATACCGTTATTCTTTCTAGCACCTCTTGAGCACCTAGGCTCTAGTTTCTTTGATTCTCTGTTCATACAGACCACTCGATGTTATCTTCACATTTATTTCTCAGGTTAAAACCTGAAGGACAATGCACTAGTGCCTACAGAAAAGTGATCTTCAGAGACACTTTAAGGAGCAAAGTTCATGACTGCTGAAGATGAATTTATTGTAGGTGGTGATAAACAAGCCTAAAGGAGCAAAAACAAACAAACAAACAACAAAAACAGCAAAAACGAACAATGGATTTTGTTAGAAGTGCACTTCTGGAAAACTAGCTGAAAAAGTAAGAATTTGTCCCCCATCAATAACCTGATTGACTTGCAGCACTGAAATACCAGGTACATTCATTATGAAGCTGGAATCTTCCCTTCACCACAACTGTCAATTTAATGTCATGCATGCGCAGCTCCATGCCAACCTCTCCTTGCCTTAATGAAGTCAGGATACCCATCTGGCACCACCACACATCTAGAGCTGTGCTTGCCAAGAAAAATAAGCAGACTCAGCCAAAAGCTGAGATCCACTTTGCGAGAAATGCAGCTTTTATTTGCTCTTTACAGTTTTGTCTGTATGTAGGAAGCATCTCTGGACTTGCTGGAGCCTTCAAGATCAGCAGTGGTTCCAGCTGCCAGTTCTTTTCCATCTTATTGATTTACTGATTCTAATGTTCTTGTAGAAGAATTCTGATGACAACAGCAAGTGGGTCAGGCACATGTTCTTCAGCTGATGAAGCTAAGCTGATTGATGTAGGTTGAGAACCAGATAATTATCTGCACCTAATTCGATTTGATATTGTCCCAATTCAAATTCTAATTTTCATTTGTTCATGAACATGACTTGCTACTAAACAGACTCAATTAAAAGTTGCTCAAGTGCAGCTTTGGATCAACTTTCCCAAGTAGTGAGTACATTTTTGACTAGAGAAGTCAATTTTCTCCTTTTCCCTGAGAAGGAAAAAATAGTTGTGTTAGTTTTACAGTTGCTCTCTGTCGTGGAAGTGAAGGACAGAGTTTATGTTTTTCCTGCACAAAACTGCTTTTTTTTTTTTTTGTACACAAACACCACTAATTACCTTTCCTTCATGTCTGAATGTCAGAAAATTATCTATATTTAGCAGACTGAATGTAACACAAGGAGAAGGATAAAACTTCTGAGCAAGACACAACAAACATCTTGGTCAGAAGAATCCAGCATTTTCAAAGCCTATTATATCAATTCATATGCTTATAGGAGAGAATGAATTTGATTCAAATTCATGCCATCCTTTCAATCTCACAGGTTTTCATCATGTCTCTCTTAGAGGAGAACATGGAATACTTGTGCTCTGTGCAAATTACTCCTCCTGGTAATACTTTTCTACCTTGCCCTCAAGCATGACAGATAACAAATGACACAATCTCTTAGCATCATAATTCCTCACACCACAAAAACCAAACAACCACAACAGCAACAACAACAACAAAAATACAGAGGGTAGGGCAGAACATATCCAGAAAATACAGTAGATATTTATGAGATGAAGAGATACCACAGGACTGGTGGGAAGGCAAGGCACTAACTAAATGTGAGACTCCAAAAAAGAAGAGTACCTGAAGAAGTCTGTAGGATAGGTTACGAAAATATCATGAGAGGTAATATATGCATGAAGTTTTACAAGAGAAGAAAAGCTTTGCTGATAGCTGCTTCTGTATCCAGTTCTAAACACGCAGTGATACCATCTCACACACAGAGAACCAATCATAAGTGCCAGTCACACCCTATATTCTGAGTAGAGCCTTTGTATGGAATTGGGTTTGATTTCAAGGCTGTGCTTTGGGGAACAGTTTTAGTGCAGTTTTATCAAACCCTAGAAGACTGATAGACAATGGAGACTTTTTTTCCATCATGAAGTTTCTGTTGAGTTTATGCAGTGCACACCACAGATATTTTCTACCAGATTGTGCTGGGTTATTTTTTCCAAATACATCAACATTCATGCTGTCAGGAAGCAGATTTGAGTGCAGCTGTGAGGTGGTACATCTCATGCCTCCACTCGCCTCATCTCGAGCAACAGGAGAACAGCTCCCACTCCCATTCTAAAAGCTGCCAAGTAAGTTTTGGTTACAAATACTGTAACTATCCACTTTGAAACAGGATAATTACCAGCACTTCTAATTTAAGATGATTACAAAGTCCTGTAGTTACCTATCTGAAATAACCTTTGCATCAAAATAAGATGTGGCCCGCGCTTCCTCTTTTGTGTTGCACAGTCATGTAGGTTCAGAGCAAAACAAAAATATTTCACCTTTAGCTAGCGATACCAAAGGCAGTGGCACAGACCCACACCAACAGGATCATACCCCTTATGAAGCTTATTTTACTTGGGAAACTAGCCCACATGCATTAATCTGGGTAACATAAGCTGTACCTGCAAGGAAAGTTTGCCAAACTGGTCACAGTTGTGCACATTCTAGTAAAAATGGGGGGGCAGAATGGCGAGGCCACACTGTTTTCAGTGGTGAGTGGAGACAGGACAAGGGGAAACGGCCGGAAACTGCAGCATAGGAAGTTCTGCACCAATGTGCGAAGGAACTTCTTTACAGTGAGGTGACGGAGCACTGGAACAGGCTGCCAGGGAGGGGGGGGGAGTCTCCTTCTCTGGAGATGTTCAAGACCTGCCTGGATGCTGACCTGTGCGACCTGCTGTAGGGAACCTGCTTTGGCAGGGGGTTTGGACTCGATGATCTCTGGAGGTCCCTTCCAACCCCTACAATTCTGTGATTCTGTGAAAAATATTCGAAGACTTTGTCAAGAAGATTATGTAACCCTCTATTAAAATTGTTCATGTTTTGTTTCTATCTTTTTCACATATTTAATCACTTATTTACTCCACAAGTCAGTCTGATGGTAAAGTTGTTGATCCCATAGCTCCTTTGCCAACGCCATTTCAGTGAATACCTTCTTTCAGCATGGCCCACACCAACTTCTGAGACAACAGAACTCACAGCACTGCTAGCTTATGGGGTCTTGGTACCCAAGTCCCAACCCCAGGGAGACATCCTTGAATGAACAACTGCGGGTGAGCAAGAGATGCACCAGGATGGTCATTCCAGCTAGTATGTGAATAATATATCAGTAATGCATCAAACACAAGAGGTACCCAATTCTCATTCTGCCCGCTGGCATGCACTTCAGGATTACCATAACATTAGCCAAGTAAGAGCAAAATCAGAAGAGATACTACAGAAATCACCAGCTACATAAACAAAGCTTTGAATGCAGGATCCAAGCCTATTTTCACAGATTTATGGCCACTGCTTTGAGGAATAGAGCATCTGAGAACTGGGAGCATCTCATCCTTACTCCCCCTCATAGTAGTTTCTACTGTCTTGAGGCAGCCTGATTGCAGAACCTGCCCATGTGTGTCCACAGTTATTCCTTCGGTTTCCACATAATTTCTCCCCTTGCTTCAGTGTAGCAACAAGAAGAGACAGTGGCTGCTCCAACCCTGCAGTAAAGCAAGGTGCCAGGGAGCAGAGATTGAGGAAAATCCAAGAGGTGCTATCAGGGCAGCAGGGACCCAGCATCTCTTGGCTGGGAAAGCAAGGGGCTCTTCACCACACACTGCTCCAGCACCCAGCTTCTGTGCCAGCCTGAGCTAGCAGCAGCCCTTGTGCCTTAAATCACAGAACCCCAGAATGGCTTAATGCCTACGCAGTTCCAACCCTTCCACCCCTCTGCCATGGGCTGGTTGTCCCCCTACCCCCCTGCTCAGGCTGCCCAGGGCTTCATGCATGGCCTTGGGCACCACCAGAGATGGGGGCAGCAGTGCCAGAGCCTCATTGCCCTCTGGATGCAGAACTTCTCCCTTACATTTAACCTAAATCTTGCTCAACCCTGTTAAGTTTACATGGGGCCACTTCTCAAGATTATCTGAAAATGCAGCACTTGGCCCCAAGTAGCCACCGTGTTACAGCAAGGGTGAAGTGTCTGTCAGAGCAGTGAAGCAAATTATGAGGAAATTCAAACCAGTGTTCAAGACAACATCTTCAGCATAAATTCCTGCTACTGAATTTTGCAGCTGACCCCTAAAATCTGTCATGTTTTGAAGAACTTATAGAGATCTTATTCCTGATGTATGTGTCCCTTTCTGGAGCAAAAGGTTTAGTGTCACAAACCCAAGTGCTGACTGTGTTTTCCACCTTGTGTCAGGCATGCTCACTGCAGCCAGGATTTCCTTGCCAGAACTGATTAAGAGAAGTAAGAGCAATATGAGAAGATAGCCATGAGCAAATTATTTTACAAGCAAGGAGCACAACAGGTCTGTGACTAATTAACAGCATGTATTGATGGTCTTTCAACAGCCCTTTTGGTTGGTGTAGGTTTTCAGATGAACACTGTAGGACACAGGATGCACAGACAAGCTACACAAATGTGATTATGGAACAATGCAGGCCAAGGACAGTGTATTCTCTATATTTAACAGGGATAATGATGATTTTATCAGTTCTTACACCAGCTATCGTGAACATTAACTGCTGATCCTAAGAAGCCCAGCACAAACACAACAAAGACCAAAACCAGAACCCCTTTTCTCCACCAATGTTACCACAGGACCAGACATAGTGTCTTACCAGCCAAAATGGCTATCATATAAAAGACAGAACCAGCTTTCATTTTAATGGGTAACAGAAGAGCTAGAAAGTTGCAATGCTTTTCCAAGTTAAGATGAAAAACTCCCTGGAAGGGTGCACGTATGTGTGTGCTTAAATATGAAGAGGCTGTTAGCCTAAAGGATGAACCGCACAAATTCCACAAGTTGGCAGAAGATTTACAGAGGCAAAGCTGCCAATTTACAGAGATCACCTCCTGAGGCATTCAGTCTACAGCAGTTATAATTCCTGAAGTCGTGTGTGGGAGTGCTATCAGAAGGAACTGTCACTGGGAGTAAAGAAACAAAACACAAGAAATTATATCTGAATATCCAGGTCTGCTGGTGGTAGATGTCTCTGGTGGTCATTGCGGAAGAAATGATGGTACTCAAAATGTTACAGTAAATGCTGATAATAACAGCAACAAGATACAAATCTTCCACCTTCTGAGGCCCATGGTACGGCTGACAGTGTTATGTGATGATATAATCCCCCCTTCCCCTTGAAAGGGGAGCTGAGCACAATAGAATTTCATGCTGGCTTTTGGAGGAGAGCCATGGTGAGCCTGGTGGGCTGTGAAGACCCTTGCTGAGGTCAGAGCAGCTTTTGCAGAATGTCACTCCGCAGCTGCAATCATTTTCACTTCCCAATTTCTTTCCAATAACCTTCATGAGCAGCACACAATAGAGCACAGATTGGTTTCAAAAGATAAAACATCAGCAGAGCCCAGAGAGACACACTGCTGCTGCTCAGAAACAGAAGCAGATTCTGCTGTTCCAGTTCAAGCAGTTCCTGCCTTTGGCCCATAGTTGACCCAGGGCAGGGAACAAATCTCTGCAAACCTGTGGCCTCACACTACCTTGCACTTGTGGATGGAAAACACTAAAGGACTGAACTGAACCTTTTACTGGATGGCAATGAACACAGGTTTTCCAGGAGCAAATGCTTCTCCCTCCAACTGTCCCTTAGGCAAGTACAGCAAAAGCCCTCCCTAAGTTTTGTTAGCCCCCTCAGCTGCTCCCAGCTGAGCAGAAAAGCCCGTGATTTAAGGTACCTGCAAATCTTTGGAGCAGCATATGAAGAGGTACCTATTAACATCAAGTACTCAGAGAAGCTCAGCTATCAGAGGCACACAGTACGTTCCCAGGCATTTTATATATCAGACTTCTGCAAGCTCTAGGAGAGAAAATTTATGTTTAACCTCTCATTTCCCTTATCTGCCCATCAATATAGTCTGCTGGTTGGCAAATGGGTAATACAACCAGGGGAATGGCCACTGTCAGTTTCAGTCAAATTATGCAGGAAGAACAGTTTGCATTTTCCTGATCTGAGGTAGGAGAAAATCTGGAATGACAGATTTGTCTCAGTCAGGTGCTCCAGGGGCACTTCTCTTACATGAACCTAGATGTGCCCCTGGGAGAATGAGGGGGCACAGATGGAGTAGCTGTAGGCAAACAGACATGATCACTAGCAGCTTTTAGAGATAGGTTTTCTGGCTCAGTATGAACTCCCACGGAGGCTGAATTACATGACATGAACGGTTACAAGCAACATTATCAGAAACAGCTCCCATCAAACTGTAATGGTGGTATTCTTAGACAAGCAGAGGGCTCCTCTCCCTCCCCTTCGTGTATCACCTCAGGTTGCAATTCTACAATTTAACAGATGTTGCTTGGAGAAGTAGCAGTTTTCACTTAAAACAGTCCCTGACAATTCCCGACGTGCTCTCATTAAGAGCATGCTTATATTCACAGTGGGATGGAAACCCCTTCATCTGGCTGGTTAATGCACTACAGGGACCTGTAATGATCAGAAAAATCAGTGTAGTGGAATGATGACACAGGAGGTGTAAAGACAAAGGGACTAGAGCAAAGGAAAGGTATTACAATGGGAAAGCGCTCACCCATCACTGAACATCTCAGCTCCCAGGGGAAAACTCCACCAAAGAGGGACCTCTAGAAGGAAATCTTTCCCCAGTGGCAGTCAGACCTTACATGAGGTCTAACTGAGGTGCAGCCAGGCTCCACCTCTTCCAGTCATACAGCTGAATTGCACTCACCTGTTCTGCCAGGGCTGACCAGGTCCTTTCCCCAGGTCTCAGTTGGTGGTTCAGGCTGGGACTCAGCAGTTACCATACAAGACCTTTCTCAATCATGGCTGTACTTTTTCTTGTTCAAATTTCCTTTCCATAGGGGATTTTCCATTACCAGCCTGTTAGCTGTGGTATGCATCAAAATAATATGATGTGCTTGCCCAGATGGGCTCGTGTGAGATTTCTGTCAACATTCCCCATGGCTTTTTGTGGACTTAAGCATTGCAGTCACAGGAGGAGATGTTACTCTGCTGTCATATATATGCATCTTCAGGTAGGATACAAACTAGGAAGCACTGACTCAGATCAACAATAAGAAACAACAATTTCCAAGTTCAGCTTGGACAGTTGGAGTGTTTAGAGCTCTTGTACACTTTGTGTACATCTACAAACAAAACCATGTACACTGCAGAAATGTCTGAGCTAGCATATATCACTCAAGGGACAAAGCCAGAAGGTAAATAACTACATTAGAATGGTGCTTTGCCCAAAATTATCAAGCTCTGCTTATTGCTAGCAATGATCCCTTATTTACCATAGGGATCATTTCCAGCTGGAGCCAATAGAGGTGAGCAAATATTTTCCTTCTGCAATGCTTTGGAAAATCCTGTAGATATGCTGAAAAAGAAAGTTTCCCAACTCAGGGGTCCGTCAAATAGAGGCATGCAGATCACCCTCATCAGAAGAGGATCACACTGAGCTGTTTGCCCCAAGTGATGCTGCAAAACCTTCAGGGTTACAGAAGATAGAGGTTTGGGCTGAGCAACTGAAAAGCCCTAAAGTTCAGGCGCAGGCTTGTTCAGTGAATGCCTCTAAGTCTGGCCAGAACAGGGATGTGCTTTCAGTCAGTTTTCAATTTGCTCTCATACTCTGGAAATTGTGGAATGCCTTGTGGAATGAACAAACAAATAAAAAAACTCACAACAAAAAGACAGCAGTTGGGGCAATAGCAAGCACAGATACAGGTTGGGTGGAGAATGGCTTTAGAGCAGCCCTGAGGAGGAGGATTTGGGGGTGTCAGAGGATGAAAGACTCAGCATGAATCAGCAATGTGTGCTTGCAGCCCAGAAGGTCAAATATATCCTGAGCTGCCTAAAGAGAAGTGTGACCGGCAGGGAGAGGGAGGTGATTCTGTCCCTCTGCTCTGCTCTCATGACAGCCCGCCCGGAGCACTGTGTCCAGTTCTGGACAATAAGGACATAGGGCTGTTGGAGCAGGTCCAGAAGAGAGAACTAAGAGGAACAGAAGGATGAAGCACCTTCCCTGTGAGGAAAGGCTGAGAGAGCTGGGGCTCTTTATCCTGGAGAAGAGAAGGCTCTGAGGGGACCTTATCACCCTTCCAGGACCTGAAGAGGCTTACAGGAAAGCTGGGGAGGGACTGTTTATAAGGGTATGACAACAGGATGAGGTGAAACTGTTTTAAACTGGAAGAGGGTAGCTTTAGACTAGATATCAGGAAGAAATTCTTTAATGTGAGTGTGGTGAGATACTGGCACAGATTGCCTGGTGAGGCTGTGGATGCCTCCTGCCTGGAAGCACTCAAGGCTGGGCTGGATGGGGCTGTGAGCAACCTGGGCTATGGGAGGTGTCCCTGCCTGCAGCAGGAGGTTGGGACGAGATGGTCTTAAAGGTTCTCTCTAACCCAAACTGTTCTGTAACTCTATGATTCCATGACTTACCCTGAAGTATGATGGCTAGTCTTTGCTGGCCCATGGGCAGTAGTACTGAGCCAGTAAGTGACAAATCACAGCTGCACATGACATGCTTTCTCTGCCTTCTAACCTAGGCAGAGGCACCAGCAGTAGCTTCATAAGGCCGTAGACAGCAGCTGACATCAGGAGACTGGGAAAACAATTAGTTGGGAGCTTGAAGGAAGACTGCAGCTGTGTTGGGTGCAAACCCGTTGACAAACGTTCTCCAGCCAGCTGTGATCCAACTCTAGAAATATACACGTTCATGGTTTTATATGTGAGAGTCAAGGGCAGGATGGTTAAGCTTAATTTTTGCTCTGGATCGCATCTGCACCCTGTTACTGATGCAGAATACATTTACAGGGAAATCTTGATGATACTGCAAGTAGCTCTTTTATACCACTGTAATTCACTGAGGAGGAGGAGGATCATCTGTAAAGGAGTCAGCCAGGGACAAAGTATTTTTCAATAAGTAGTTATGGAAAATGAACTGTAGCTCAGGATGGGAAAAAAAATAAAACCCTCCAGAAGTGTGAATCTGTGCTCTGGTTCCTGCTGCCTTTCCTGCCTCATTCCCAAGGCACACAGCAGCCAGGATGGCAGCCCTGCCTCTTCCAACCAGAAAATAAGCCTCCAGGTAAGAAGTCACAGTGCTGCAACTGAGTACACTGTCAGAATTGATTCCTCCCACCCCCTATGTTGACTTCTTGACTTGATTCATTTAGTGCCTATGACTGTTGCAGCAGAATTACTGAGTATATTCTCTTTTGATCTAAACACCTCGACATAATGGTGAGTTTAGACTACTTGGTGGGAGAAGAAAAAAAGAGCAGCAAATAATTTCATTCTTACGAAAGAATCTATTTGCTGGAGAAGAGAGCTGGAAAACTACTGCCGTCGTACTGTTCTGTTTGAATAATTTTCTGTAGGAGAATTTTAAATGCCTTTGTGTCTGCAAGGGGCAGCTTCTCCTTTTCCCAGATGGGTATTATGGTACGAGGCACTGATACAATTTGGAAGATGTACTATTGACTGTCATGAAATGATACTGAAAATGATGAAATCAATTTAATTCTCTAATGGCCCAAAGAAAGGAGGGAAAACTTTATGTGTGTTGTTTGACCTGCCTTATGAGAGGCTGAAAATCCTGTTCTCAGTAATCAGGAGATGGATCTCATATTTTACAAGTTTGTTGTTTGGGGGTTTTTATTTTGGTTTGTTTTTGATTCAGAAGCTGAAGAGGGAAGAACTGAACCACAATTTCTAATTCTAGATCCTTCCACTATTCCTCAGAATGAGCAGAGAACACAGCTTTGGTTCCAAATCCTGAAGTGCTTCAAGCCTTCACATAGCCTAGTGGCCATCAATACCTTCCTGGTTGGATTAGAAGGATGGCTTGCTGGGTATGGGACTACGATTCAGGAGATTTGCATTCAGTTCTCATTGTTACTACAGGTTTCTTCAGCAGATCATTTAACTTCATTAGGGCTTTCCCTGCTCTAGGAGTCTTGTAGTCATTTATACTGTCAATTCCTCATGAACAGGCCCACATAATACTGTGAGCTCCTAACAGCTAACAGTGCAGAACTGGGCAAGGCTGGGCTCCCCTGCAGTACTGCATTACAAACAGGAAGATATCAAGCACACTCCTCTCAGCCAGTGCACCCTGACTGAGCATTGCTCCCACTGTTTCATGGGTTGATCAAGCAATGAAATTCTCTGAAAGAAACATCAGGCTTGCAGCTTTAGGAATATCCTTTTTGCACAAACCATGCAAAGGAAAAGCCCAGGACCTGATACAACCTCACTGGTTCAGGTCTGCCTCCCCTCTATCCATCAAATGCTCCCTTTATTACAAGCCTCCAGGACAAACAGTGCCTCAACATTTTTGATTAAATGCTTTTCAAGCTCAAAGGCTCTAGCAAGCAAGTGAGTTTGGTCTGTGATATTGCACTAATATGACAAGAATGATTGATTGAAAGCAAACCTTTTCCCCTTTCACTCCACAGCTACTTCCACAAGTATTTTGATTCTGGCAAGAAGTATGACATTATTGATTTGCTTCTGCACTGCTTGGTCTGGAGCCTCATCTGCAAAAGCATTATTCTTTATTGCTTCAATAATTTCACTGAGTGCAGAGAACTCCACTGTATTTTTTTTACTTAGCGTTTAGTGATTCTTTAAATTTTTTATGTGCTCTGAAGCTGAAAATCAGCCATTTGCAGAAACGCACTGGAAAGCAACCAGAAATCCAGATGTCTCCATAGACATGGGACCACTTACACTTGCTGATCCAGAGTTCTGACTGGGACACTGATAGCACACTGCCTTTATGTAAAATTGTAAGGAGAAATGGGCAGGGAAGGGTTCTGAACTTGGGACAGCACCACATCCTGTGCCCAAATGGCTCCCGGTCAGCAGGAGAACAGAGGCAGATGCAAGCGAGGGGTCTGTAAAAGCATGCTCATTTTTACCTTTTGTCCTTCCAAAGCCCTCTATTTGAGGTACTGCTGAACACAAAGGAAATTCCAGACCATTGGAGGATCGAAGGGTACATTGTGCATGTGTGTTTTGAGATTTACACCTCTGGATCTGCCCGTGTAGCCTGTGAATATGTGGGAGACACACTCAGAATCCAGGATTTGCACTTTGACGCAATATTGTGCTTACTTTGCCTCCTTTGATTTCCTACATTGAGCTAAAATGTCTCACGAGAAAAAAAGACTGCAACTGATGCACTGATAGCAGAAGGTGGCAAAAAGGGCATCACTTCTTCAGTTAGATAGAGTAGCTCAGGACAACAGTGCCATACAAACCCTCCTAAACACATCTGCTCTTTGAGAGCTGAATTTGTGTGTCAGCTACATGTTGTAACCCAGCTTACAGCTTACAGCCTGGGGGCCAAAACGATTACAGTAAGACAGAAAACCTCCCACTCTCATTAGAGATGTGAATGAGCCGTGAGCTTTGCATCATGTAACATTTTTCAGTTTCCAGGACACTGCAGTGTATGGAGTTATTTAGCAGCCTGAAAAGGTCACATCTACTTTCTTCCCACTGCTGTTTACAGAGCACAGTAGGCATCAAATACAAGAGGTCATGTATTTTCATTCTGGAGACTTCAGGGCAAATGAGGATGTAGAAAAAACACGCTTGCAAAATAACACAACTGTGAATGGGGCAAGCAGACAGCCAACACATCCT